AAAAAAAAAAAAAAAAGACTACATGATTCTAAGAGAGACTGCCTGCTTTAAGAAGAGGTAGTATTATGTTTAATAACTGAAAATAATAATCAGAAATAATCAGAAAAACTATCAATTGCTGTCACTACAGTATTGGGAACTTTAGGGGAAATTACTTACCATTTCTAAATTTTAAAATGTTTTTTGAACTGTTATAAAATTTATCAAGAGCAGTAGAAAACAAGTAGCATATTTCTTATTATAGTGGAATCAGTACATAGTAGTTGCTTTATCTTTTATGAACTCAATAGAATCTTCCCTATTTGGAAATATTCAGTAGGTGACATAAGAGATATATTTGACCTTTGATTTTGGTGGCTATGATGAGAAGAAAAATCTACTACACTGGAATTTGTCATGCTTAAAATGTAATCTGATATTTCTTTCTTTTTTTTTTTTGAAACAGAGTCTCACTGTATTACCCTGGGTAGAGTGCAGTGGCATCACAGCTCACAGCAACCTCAAACTCTTGCTGCCATTGCCTTAGCCTCCCAACTAGCTGGGAATACAGGCACCTACCATACTGCCTGGCTAGTTTTTCTATTTTTTTGGTAGAGACAGGATCTTGCTGTTGCTCAGGTTGGTCTCAAACTTGTGAGCTCAGGCAATCCATCTGCCTCAGCCTCCCCAATTTCTAGGATTACAGGCAGGAGCCACTGTGGTTGGCCCCTGATATTTTTTTATAAATCACTTAATCAGGATTTAGGAATAGAATCTATCTTATGACTGAGGAAATAAGTTGAAGAGGGTGCTGTAAAAAAAGATTTAGTTTTCAGTTTAGACTTTTCTACTCTAATTTTATAGAAGACTCTAGTTTTTCAACATTATGGTGGGGTTCAAATTCCAACTCAATACAGACCATGTTTAATATGTAGATCTCTATTTTTTAATCTGGAAAATGGAAATAATAATTTCTGCCAAATCTAATGAGTTGAAATGTCAGTAAAATGAGAGAATGTGTAAAATACTTAGAAAGTAGAAAGCAGCCTTTCAAATTACTCCTTAGATCAGACTCAGAAGAGGTTGGACAGTTGCCCTGCCTTTCCTAAGTGTATGAGGCTAAAAGAGAGGTGGAAAGCTTACTTACATGGTCATTGAAGAAGTCTTAATCATCTCCACTGTTTAGTCCACACAAATCTTGATTTAATATTCTTTATGTGAAGTGTTTTAATATATTTTTTAAGGTTATGATGACTTGTTACTTTGCTATTTCCTTACTTCAGGAAAAACAAATCATAGATGTCAAGCCCAGTCACATTAGTTCAACAGATCTTGGCAAACTTGAAAATGAACCCAAGTCAACAAGTTTTGAAATTTCTAGGAATGAAGTAGAGGTGGGTATTTGGTAACAGTCTACTTTTTACCCTTTTTACCTACTATGAGTTAATAAATAACATTTGCGAGTGTGATGTAATCCATAGTAGTAGGTACCTTGCTGCACAAAAGGTTATATGTGTGTGAAGGAAAACTAGAGGCTTTTGAGAAGAAATGAATGTTTTTCTTTTTTTTTAGATAGAGTCTCACTCTATCATCCTCAATAGAGTGCTGTGGCATCATAGCTTACAGCAACCTCAAACTCTTGGGCTTAAGCAATTCTCTTGTCTCAGCCTCCCAAGTAGTTGGGACTATAGGCTCCTGCCACAATGCTCGGCTATTTTTAGAGATGGGATCTCGCTTTTTCTCAGTCTGGTGTCCAGGCTGGTTTCAAACTCCTGAGCTCAGGCATTCTACCCACCTCAACCTCCCAAAGTGTTAGGATTACAGGCGTGTGCCACTGTACCCAGCCAAAGATGAAATTCTGTTGGGTGATGAGATCCCCAGATGATGTTAACCTCTTTATAAAACAGTACTACGTCTGTTAATATAAACATGCTTGATGGTCAGAAATAGGAAATCCATGCTTGCTTGGGTAGCACATAAACTAAAATTGGAACAATATAGAGAATATTAGCATGGCCCTTGTGCTAGGGTGACACACAAATTTGTGAAGCATTCCATATTTTTAAAAAATAGAAAAAAAAAGGAAAGAGGAAACCCCATGATATAAATAAAGTATGGGTGATTATTTGTTCTCTTAGTAGGTTCCTTTAATAAGCTTTATGTTAAATAGTATTTTTGAAAAATTGTATCCATTTAATAATTTTGTCACCAACCTTCCATAATAATTCATGATGGGTTTCCTTAATTTATCTTTAACTTAAGATTATTATTATTTTTTTTTTT